TACCAGAACTGATGTAGATTGTGGAACATACTATAACCGACATGACAGGCCCTATATAACCAACGTCAAAGGTCTTTTTATAGTAGTGTTTTGAGGCTATTTGAATCGTTTTCAACCATGCTTGTATGATGCAATGCCTTCCTTTTCAATTACGCTTGTGTCATAATTATTGTGAATTCCTAGAATAGCTTATTTCACTGTAAGAAAACACGTGATTGGTGACAAAATATGTTCTGTCGCTAATTGCTATGTTGTTAATTAGACTAACGACAAAATTATTTCGTCACTAATCAGTGAGGAAATTTTTTTTAGTTAATCCACCACTGATTATCAACAAAATAATTCTATTCCTAATCTGAATTTTCTTTAAAAAATTGTACTCCATGAGAAATTGAACAAAAAGCGGCAAAATTTGCCTATTTCTTGCATGTGCCAATTGAAGTATTTTGGGAAAAAAAAAATGAACTGAAAAATTAATGCTTTCTTTAAAACCTTCGCTAGCCCCCACCTCATCATTGGTGGCAGTTGCCGACCACCCCCATGTGTCACCTACCACATGTTGCCACCACATAATTTCTCCTCAAATGTAGAGCTGGGAAAATGGGTTGAGCTCATCAGGCTGGCTCGTTTAATAAAGTCAAGGGTCAGGCTTTTGATTTTGGAGACTCCAAAGGTAAGTTGGGCTTAAAAAAGCTAGCCCTATAGGACCTAAAATTAAACAGACTGGCCCGTTTAAGCCGGTCAACAATTGTTTTAAAATTTTTATTTTTTTAAGATGAACTTGGTGCTTGTTTAGTTATTTATTATGTCTGTCTTCCATTCGGTTTGTTTATTCAATAGACTCTATTGCAGCATGATTGATGTTTTGGATGTTTACATGTGATGATGTTTATGTTTGTGACTTAATTTTATTCACATTTATATCTTTTATTAGTAATTGTATTGTTTTATTTTTATTAGTTCAATAAAATATGCAATAAACATAAAAAAATTATATTTGTAATTAAACAAGCCAAAAGCCCACGGGTCAGTCCTGAGCTCATCACCACACAAGCCGGGCCTAAGAAATTCATCTATTTCTAAGCTCAAGCTTAAACAAGTCGGATTGGCCTGTTTTCCTAATACTCAAATGTGACTTCTCCTTGCCAAGTAAGCTGTAATGGATCTACAGTTTTTTAATAAAAAATTGAATATATGTAATACTATTTTGGGAGAATCCTAATAAAATCTGGCTGAAATATCTAAATCTAAATTAAAGTCTATAGTTTTAATAAATTCCCAACTAGATCATATGACCTCACTAGAGATTTATGAATGTTGCTAAATAACTAGAATTTCCCCTTTAATTAGAAAGAAAAATTAATTATTTTATCTCTTCCAAGTGATATCTCATATCTTATGATTATTTATTAAGACTTAAGAAACATATAAGTAAATTTTAGAGTGTTTAAGATTTGTATATATACAACTAAAAAAATAAAACTTTCAAACATATTTTAATAAAAACTTTAAGTGCTCTTTGAATAAATATTTAGAGAAAAATATTCTATTTAAAAAATATTTGTAATTGATATAAATAATAGTTCACAGCAGAATAAAATAAAAATTATTTTTTAATTTTCTGAATCAAATGCTTACCTAATAAAACTAACGCAAATTATAAGAGTAATATTTAAGCGATGCAATAGTCATGAATAAATAGGAAAAGATTTGAAAAGTCATTGCGTTAAGGACCAAAGAGAGAGACATGGACCATTTGACCCCTTATCCGGACTGAAAACTTTTACAGATTGATTACAGCGCCAGAATAATTATTAAGGTGGATTGAGGATAGTGTTGTAATTTCATGTCATCTCCTATGGATTTGTTATTTTCATATTTTAGGAACAGGATTTGTGGGGGAGAAAAATACCAAAGTAACAACTGATTTTAATTGTAGATGGGCATTTTGTACTTTTAAGACATTCGTAAATTCCTAATTAGACATCTTGGCTTTACTATGAAATTATACAAAGTGAAAGCCTAATTTTAAATTTTAGTATTTCAAATACACTTACTTGGGATTCTCCTTTTTTAGATTTAATTTGTATTTTTAATTAATATTGATTAGACATATGATTTAATTACATATGTATTATATTGAATTATATTATATTATCTATTTGTTTTTTGATATATTTGATGAAAACCATTTATAACTAGTAAAAAACTCTAATTATTAAAAAAATGTTATAATAAAATTTAATAAATTATTCTATATAAAAATTTAAATGATTTGAACAGATTATAATAAACATCCCTCTCCTACTATTGTGTCTATCAATTTTCATTGTTTTATTATTCACATTCAAAATTCACTTCAACATTAGTTTGATTTATAATTATAAATTGAGGTTTTCATATAAATTTATTTGTCGATTCTGAATTTTTTTCATATATTACATTTTTTAATATACTATATATATAATACAATTCTTTCTTTCTTATATTAATTTATATGAGAAAGTTATTAATATTTTAATTATATTTATTTAATTATTATTCATGACAAAAAATTGATTTCAATTAAACATAAAACAAGTTTTCTAATAAGTCGTCTTTTTGTCTCATTATGTATCTAATGATGAGATGAATAATAATGATACCTTTATTAACACTAACTCCATGAATATATCAATTTATTTTATATTTAAAAATATATTTAAGTCATTATATTATTAATTATGTTATTATGTAAGTTGTTGTAGGACTATAATCTAAAATAATAAAATTTGAAATTAGTGATGGAATAGACTTAGTGATAGAATTAGCAATAAAAATTTTCGCGGCAAACAATTTATTAGCCAAATTGTCTAAAGAAATTAAATATATTATAATTAAATATTAATTATGGAATTGGTGGCAGAAATTTTAGACGAAAAAATTTTGTCACTAAAAATTTATCGACGGATTAGGAACAGAATGAAATTTTGTTGCTACAAAAATTTTGTTGTTAATGGAATAATTTTTTGTCGCTAATTCCATCAGCAATGAACTTTTTTTTTCCCCTAGTGTTTCTTTCAAGCAAGCTTATGACTCTTGGTCAAAAAAAGCAAGCTTATAACTCATTTTAATGACTCAACGAGGTACCTTAATTCTCTTCAAGCATGATTGTATGTGTTATGCCGACTGTTCATATTGTGATGGGTTGAGGAGATGATGATGGTGATGTTATGTGATGCAGCTTGCCTTTACTTCGTGCGCAGTGGTGGGCCTCTTGTAGGACCGTATTCCTTAAAACATGGGATGATGACTTGTAGGACGCTATTTCTTAATATTTAATTACCCTGATTTGATTTTGTAAAGGGGAAACCTGGAGCTGTTAACACCTTCTAACTTAGTTTTTTAAATAAGGGAACTATAATTTGGGCTCAAGCTCTGCACTTTTGATCAAATACATCTCAAACATTGGAATAGCTTAGCTTAATCAGTGTAGTGTATTGGTCATATTATGAAGAAGCCCATAGTTCAAGTCAACAGTATAAGGTTAAATGAAACAATGTGAGGGTTTCATGCATTGTCTATTAACATGTTTTGGATACCATTATAAATCGTGATATTCGATGGTAGGGATTGGAAATGATAATAATAAAGTGTATGTATGCTTAACCTATGATTAGTTGTGTTCACTGGTTTGTATTTATACTGGATTACTGAGACGTTAATATTCATCTCATTTTTTAATCTATTTTAGGTGAAGGGTCAGGCAGGAAGGTACGGGAGGTGTTACTCCTCGTTTAATATTTTGCTATTTGTCATGGTGTTATAACATTAATCGTTTATTTTTCCTTCCTTTCTCGCTATGCATGGGCTACTTGTCGCTTATATTGATTGAGTGCTGAAGATATCAGGACAGGACATGGTGCGTTCCACGTGTTCCTATGTGAGGAGTAGAACCGAAGGTTGATGCATTAATTTATGGAGGCAAATTACAAAAAGGACAAGAAGATTTTTTTTCCCTTCTCCTAATGACACGAAGAGTTAAAGGACTAGTGAATCTGATCGGAATCAATCCAAAAATCAAACCAATAAAAAATAAAAAAAATAAAAAATAATTTAAATTTTCATTAAGAATTAAATGTCAATTTAGTATCTTGAATTATTCATGAAATAATCATAGACTTAAAATTTCTTTTCAATTTTTTTGCAATTTCTCTGGCAAATTAAAATCATAATATCGTACTACTATAATAACTAAATATTCATCCCAATAAAATATCAAAATAAATATACAAGAACAAATATTTTTTCCTACAATTATTTAATCAGTAAGTCTTAATTATCAACAGTTTTTAAAAAAATATCAAAAAAATTTTTTTTAAAAAAATCGGCTTAACCTATCAAGTCGGTCAGATTACCTGGATTAATATCAGGTTATCCCAGATTGATCCGAGTCATGCCAGGTTCTATGTTGCAACTAGAGTAATTACCAGGCCGGTTTGCTAATTTTCAGACTAAACTAGTCCATTCAACCCAAGTTTCAATACCATGATTATTATTACTCATCCAAAATAACTAATTTGTGTATAATGAAAATTAATTTTTTAGCTGAATAATAAAAAATTGTTTAAAAAGTACCCAATATATAAATATAAAGAGGTAAGCAATATTGATAAAAAGAATAAGTAAGCAAACTATTTTTCATTTATAAATATAAACTGAAAAAAATGATAAAAAAACTATATAAAAAACATAATGAGCGGGAGTGAAACAAAGGAGAGAGAATAAATAATTATAGTTAAAATTAAAAAATATATTAAATATTAAAATAAATACAAATTAAAATCTATAAGATAGAACACGCCTATTTCTAAATTTAAAATTATGAAAGGAGCATCAAAATAACTTTGAATGGGACAAACTTATAAAAAATAAAATTCAACCGGAAACTTGCCGTGGGGAGCAGTACGACGCTGGGAGTATACGTGGATGAGGCAGCGACGAATATGAGTGGCTCAGCGGCTTCCACGACAGCCGCAGACTATCCAAATCTCCAACATTGTTACTTCGTAGTCAACTTCTGAATGAATGATTTCCCTTTCGAAATCAATCGTATCAAAATCTATGCTCCAGCACATTCTTTCAACTCGAGCACTCTAATCTCCAGATTCTGCTGCCTTTGATCATTACTGCTTCAATGGCTTCCATTTCTAGAGTTATACTCAAATCCCATAAGCTTGGAGCACATGATGCTCTGCGTAATTCAGTATCTCCCACTCCTACTTCCAAGCGTCATAATCTTACCCATTTGGGTACGTTCGATCTCGGACTCGTCGTTTAGCTTGTCTGTTTTTCTGAGAATTGAAATTCCTTGGTATGTTTATTTTCTTGTCTTTCAGTTGCAAAAGGTGGGCTTTCTCTGCCTGATGGAAGAAGCCTTGCGATCAGAAGCAAGTTGAAGGCTCCAATTGGTGCTGTTACGGCAACCTCTTCAACCAATCAAATGTCAAGGTGTGTATTGAAGGTTTATATTTGCTTGCACATTTACTGTTTGGACTTGTAGTGACGGTATTTCTAAGTTTTAGATCAGATTTAGCGTGGAGAAAAAGAAAAGGAAAGAAAAATGCTGACATGATATGTACTAGTTCAAGGGAGAAATGCTTTAGCTGTCTTTCTTGATTCTAAATTTGTTTCCCACCTGATGGGTTTTTAATGTTGAACTGTAGCTACACTGGTGGTTTGTTGCATATGTATACAGGCTTCTATAGTGGGTTTTTATGCTTATTCTAATCCATTGATTATTCAAATTTATAGGCCATTCTAAACTTTAAGCAATGTTGGGCAGGCTAGAGTTATCTAATCTTTTCCACTGAGGATATATATGCTGCTAATTGCCTGGGTTTGTTCATCTCTGGGTCTGAAAATGCCTTTTCTTGTCAAGTGCATTAAATTTAGTTGATTCCTTTTCAGATATGCAATGCCTGGTAAATTTTTTGTTCTACGTTATGGTGTTTGATCTTTCAAATTTTTTATTTAAAAAAGACATTGCTTTATTAACTGCTAGGCTTAGGCACACTCAGATTTTGTGCAAGGCTACAGCAGATGTATCTGGAAATCCTCCTGATAGAGCTGGTGGGATGAACCAGTATGAGAGGATAATTGAAACCTTAACCACTCTTTTTCCAGTGTGGGTATGTTTCAAACTTCAATGATGGTCTTCTGTCTATAGTCTCAAAACTTTCACAGTATTTCTTACTTGATCAATAGTTTGATGGTTGTCTCATTTCCATGGACAGGTCATCTTGGGGGCCATTGTTGGCATTTACAAGCCAGCTGCTGTAGTAACTCTGTCCTTTTAATCTACTTTTGTCATGGAAAGAAGCACATTTGATTAATTTCTTTGATGTTATGGTCTTGTTCCAGGTAACTTGGTTGGAGACAGACTTGTTTACCCTTGGCTTGGGTTTCCTCATGTTGTCTATGGGCCTTACATTGACATTTGAGGATTTCAGGCGATGTCTACGAAATCCATGGACTGTAAGGGGACAAACAACCTTTAAAACAAAGAAAATTACTAATCATTTCCATGGTCTAAGGTTATTGCTTGGTTCTTGCAGGTGGGTGTAGGATTTCTTGCACAATATCTGATCAAACCCATGTTAGGGTTTGTCATTGCAATGGTATTCCTTAATTTTCACTGCAATTTTGTTATCTTTCTTGGTAGGATGGACTAGTGATAATAATTATGTAATCTCTAATAGTTCATTGTTTACACCTCATCTGATCTTTAATAAGTTTTCTTAGCGTGTTTGCAAGGATTTAGTTTATGTATTTGTTCTTAGGTGTATTTTGTGATTTCCATGTTATTTCTCAGTACATTTTAGTTACAAATGATGAAATGGCCTTGTAAGAGTGCAGCGCAACTCCTTTTTAGCCCTCTATCACTCTCACTTGTTTATCCTATGTTACTCACCTTCAGTAAGAAATATGTGCAATGACTGCGGGGGATTTGTAATATTTAGGATGATTTAATTTATCATACAGCAGCTAGGGTATTAAGCATTTTAGCAACCATTATTTTGCACAATCTTCTAATATCTTCTATCTCATTGTCAGGCTCTAAAACTTTCAGCCCCTCTGGCAACTGGTCTTATTCTGGTCTCATGCTGCCCTGGAGGTCAGGCATCAAATGTTGCTACCTACATATCCAAGGGAAATGTTGCTCTCTCTGTTCTTATGACAACGTATGGTTGACCTGCATACATATTTGATGTTACTTTTGGCTCTCCTTTTGTAGCAGCATAACTTTGTCTTTTGAGTTGAAAACTGTTCAATTGATAGAGTTTTGGCTTAAGAGATGATCTGGAACTAGTACAGTGTTGGGGGTTGCACTAGATTGTTTAGACAAAATAGTTTTCAGTGGCTGTCCTATCCTGCTTTACCCATACAGTATACATTGATAAATAGTCCGTATGTATTTTAATTTAACTATTTTATGTGTTTCTGATGCTAACCCGAGAAGAGTTAGGCATATTTAGATTAATATGTCACTGTCATGCTAATTACTATAAGCGTGTTATTGAATTGTTTAATTTTGGCTGTTAAAGGTTAACATGTTGATGCCTGTGTGCAAGTTTATGAACAAATGTGATGTATGATATTGATTGATGACAATTGAAGATGCTTTGAATGTAAACTTGTTGAGCTTGCCAAAGGCTGTATTGCAAAGTAACTTTGGCTTGAGAGGTAAGATCCCGAAGGCAAAGCTTTTGGCTTAATGTTTTCTGTTGATGGAGAATGAAACAATTTGTTATTACTAAATGCAAGTGAAGGTTGATATAATATGTACAGGGAAGAGGTAGTTTTGATATTTTATGTGTAGTGTGTATTAGTTTAATTATGAAGAGAATGATAATTTTCAGCTCTTGGGGCTCATTTGGTAAATATAATTAAATAAACTTATAAAAAGTATTTTCAAGGATACGAAGTAGCCTATGTATCCTAATTTCAAAAAGTGAAAAAGTTATTCACTTTTTCAGAGACATAATTGACACTGAATAGAGAGAATAGCAAGGGATTCCCTTTCCACCCCTCCATGCAAAAGAGGCTATTAGATTATGCTAATATTTAAAGTTGTTCTTGATATTGTTATAGGTGTTCAACAATTGGAGCTATTGTAATGACACCACTCCTCACCAAGCTTCTTGCTGGCCAACTTGTTCCAGTTGATGCTGCTGTAAGTTGACGCAGGCATATTTGGCATGATGAGAATTGAAATGTTGGAACCCCCCCCCCCCCCGGGGGGTGAATATTGGAACACTTGCTTAAAAGCCATAGTACTGGCCTGCTATGTAGCAAGATCTTTTAAAATGGATCCAACTTAGGTAGAGTTTTTGGGTATTTTGCTATTTGGTTCTCTGTAATAATGACATGGAAATATCTGTTTAACAAGTCAATAATATGGTTTTGAGATTTTAAAAACGTTTCAATGGTATGTTTTAATTGAAGAACCTGATAGCAAGGGACCAAAACACACTACCTATGTCTTGTCTTATTAAAAACCAACTGTATTTGCAAGATACTTCTTCGATTGGAATTTTCACTCGGGTTGAGATTTTTTTTCCCAGGGCCTAGCTATTAGCACATTTCAAGTTGTTTTAGTGCCAACAATTGTGGGTGGTAAGAGATGAATCAATTGATTTTTGCTTAGAGTTGATGCATTGAAACTGCCATGTAGTCTTAACATGTTTTCACGTGATGTGAGGTATAGTTATCATGACCTTGAATACTTTTCTAATAATATTTCTTTATGTGACAGTTTTGGCGAATGAATTTTTCCCCAAGTTTACCTCAAAGATAATTACAGTTACACCTTTGATTGGAGTAATCTTGACCACTCTTCTTTGTGCTAGCCCGGCAAGTATTCTCAACTTTAAATAGTGGGTTTCAGCGACCAGTGGAGCAATTCTTTTCATTGTATATTGATATAGTGATTGTTACTTTGCATTGAAATTTGACATCTTTTTAACTTTTCAGATCGGGCAAGTTGCTGATGTCTTGAAAACTCAAGGCTCACAGTTGATACTGCCAGTTATTATTCTACACAGTGCTGCATTTGCTCTTGGTTATTGGATTTCGAAAATCTCGTTTGGTGAATCAACATCCCGCACAATATCTATAGAATGCGGGATGCAGGTAAACCCCTATTCCATACCTTATTGGTTTATCTGCACAAAGAGTTTGTGATATTTATTCCTCCATAACCCAATATTATGTCTTCATTAGTTAGATGAATTTTTAATTTAGGGTCTGTTGGAAGTGTGCTTTCCCAAACTTTAACCTCAAGGGCTTTCAGGGTGCATGTCAGGAATATTAAGACGGTCATATGTCCTCAAGACGGGGAAAATAATTGAATAAGGCTCAATGGGATAATTATTCCCTTGAGCAATTCTGTATTTACCTGTAGAGAGAAAACGTGTACAATAGGATGAGGCCATTTGTATAGGGCTCAAGAATATTCTAAATGCTAAAGAATAAATAATAACAATATAAATACAGTCGTGGATATCAAAAGAATAAGGCTATGTTGTTTAGGCTGTCCTTTCGCTTTGACCTCCCCTCCTGATGTTGAAGGAACAATTGTGATGCCAAGCTTGTTTCTTTGGATGCAGAACCTGGAATGAGACAAAAGCTTGATGAAACAATCAACTATCTGAACTTCTGTAGGAACATATTGAACTGAAACTCGATTCTGCAACATTTGATCTCTCAAAATGTGCATCAATTTCTCTGTGATTCGTTTGAGCATGATAAATTGGATGCTATAGCTGTAGCACCGGTGTTGTCACCCCACTGTTGAGAGACATAGATTTTCCTAATACCCTAGATGTCTTAACGGAAGCAGCAGAGCTCATCTAAATCTTTCTAGGCTATCCATAATACTTCCCTTGACTCAGAAACAAACCATTCCTATTTCTTTTAATTTCAATGCCAAGAAAATAATGTACTGAACCAAAATCTTTGAGAGCAAAATGCCATGCAATCTATGAGTTAAAACATTTAAGCTGCTATATTTGCTGCCAGTAAAAAGTATATCATTTGCATTCACTAGGAGGATCATGATCTGAATTCTATTTGCATATATAAACAAGGATGAATCATTCGTTGAATTCATGACTCCCCATGCTGCCATAGTATTTTTCAATCTATCATGCAAAGCGCTTAAAAGCCTTGTCTCAAACCATAGAGAGCCTTAGACAGTCTGCAAACATAAGAGGTCGAGATGGATCTACACCATTTAGAAGGTTGTTCCATAAAGACGGTTTCTTTCAAGGAACCATTTAGAAAGGCATTATTATTTATGTCAAATTGTTTAATATCCCAACCAAAAGAAACAGTAGTTGTTAATTCTAATGATTGTAGATCTCACAACAGGACTGAAGGTTTGATTAAAATCAATACGAGGAGCCTGTTGAAAGCCTTTAGCAATTAACCTTGCTTTGGGTTTGTCAAGAGTGCCATCTGCCTTGTATTTTGTTTTGGAGACCCATTTTCTTTCCACCAAATTTCGTTGACCAGTGTAAGGAGCTAGACACTGCGTCTGATTCTTTTTATAAAGGCTTCGCATTCATTGAACATCTCCTTTCTCCAAAGTGGACTGGCCTTTGTGTGAACCACTATAGCCGATGAACACACAGTTAGTAAATTGAAACTGAAGCTTATGATTATTGGAAGGGTGCAAACAAAGGACAACAAGCACAACCAAACATCTTCAAATATGTGTAATCTGGTTTCTTGCCATACAATTGTTGACAAGGAGATATATCCTTCAAAACAGGAGTGGGAAGTCTATTTATGAGATATGTAGCAATTGAGAATGCCTCCCACCTATAATGTAGAGACATTTTAGCTAACCCATTTCCACAATATGTTTGTGCTTCCATTCAACTCCATCGTTCTGAGCAGAAGTATGAGGACAATAAAGGTGAAAAACAATACAACTTGAATCAAGTGAGGATTTAAAACGTTTAAATTCTCCACCCTAGTCACTTTGAAGAATTTTAATCTTTGTATTAAATTGATTCTCAACTAACTTTTGAAAATTAGCAAAGGCAGCTAATTCTTTATCCTTGAATTTCAATGGATAAGCCCAAGTATACCAACTATAATCGTCTAAGAAACTAATATAATGTTATGTCCCCCAGAGGAGTCAATCTTGTTTGTTGGGAAAATTCCTTAAGTTGCCATTCTCTTTCAGTGACTCAAGCAAACAAACCATTGAAATTCATTCATACTAATTTATTGGGTCCTGCACCATCAACTCCTCTATGGGACATAATATTATATTAGTTTCTTAGATGATTATAGTTGGTATACTTGGGCTTATCCATTGAAATCCAAGGATAAAGAATTAGTTGCCTTTGCTAATTTTCAAAAGTTAGTTGAGAATCAATTTAATACAAAGATTAAAATTCTTCAAAGTGACTAGGGTGGAGAATTAAGATGTTTTAAATCCTCACTTGATTCAAGTTGTATTGTTTTTCACCATTATTGTCCTCATACTTTTGCTCAGAACGGTGGAGTTGAATGGAAGCACAAACATATTGTGGAAATGGGTTAGCTAAAATGTCTCTACATTATAGGTGGGAGGCGTTCTCAATTGCTACATATCTCATTGATTATGAGACTTTATGTGACTCTTATTAGAAGCAGTAGATAAAGCAAGAACTAGATGAGTTGACTTCTCAATTCTGTACATTCCAACCTTAAGATCTCCATGCGCAAAACCTTGTTAGTTTGCAGGTCCTTCACAAAACAGCCATATGAATAGAAAGACACAAACTTCATTATCAGCAGTCAATTTCTTAATCCTTAACATGTTCTTTGTAGTTTTTGGAACAATCTACACCACTTTTCATTTGAAGAGGCTTAGAACCAGAACATGGTAAAACAAAGATGTCAGTTTTGATAATATTAAGAGATTTACCATCACCAATTATAAGACATGTATTACTTGGATTTTCAACCTTTGATTCAACATGGGAAGGTTGGAGGTAACCTGATGGGTTGCACCACTATCAAAGTACCACATAGAATCATTCCTAATATATGCTATTTTATATATATTGTTATTATCTGATAGGATGAGGTTTTAGAAAGGGTATTCTAGTAAATAACTAGTGAGTTAGTTACAGGCTAAGAGAGAGATATATCATATACCTCAACTATTACCCTTTCTTTGTTAGAAGAAATTTCTTCAGCTGGTCCAAATTGCTTATACCTAACACCATCAAGCTCAATTTTAGACCTATTAAACATAAACTCAAATAATTTAAGTTCCATATCCATAGTAAATCTACCAATAGATTTCAACCATTGAGTACCTAAAATCATGTCATAGCCCCCAATTTTCATCACCAAGAAATCAGATGAGAATGTGGAACTTCCCATTACCTATGAAAGGTTTAGGCAACATTTAGAGACTATTACCTGCCAATTATCAACCACTCTAAGTCGAACAAGAGCTTCCTCTTGAGCTCTCAAGTGAACTCGTCTGGCAGTGGAGGCATCGAGCACATTATGGGTGCTCCCTGTATCAATTAAGATAAGGACACTATGATTTTTATTGTGCCCCGCTAGGTTCATAGTTGAAGTGTCCTCTTGGCCTTCAAGCGCATTAATCGTTCCCTTAGTCTTCACAGGAACTTCTTCCAGAGTGTCTTCAAAGCGCTCTTCATCGAAATCTACCACCAACATAAAGAGATGGGAATCTTTGTAGTGATGGTTGCTGGTATATTTTTCGGGGCAACAATAGCAAAGGCCCTTCTTGTGACGTTCATCCATCTCTTTCTTTGTAAGCTGGCGGGGTGGCTTTGTCGGATCACTTGCACTCCTAGGGGAAGACGCCGAAACAAAGTATGACAGATTGGCTGAAGAAATCTGGTCTTGTGACTTGGGCTTAGATGGTGAAGAAAATCCATCTTTGGGCTAGAAACAGGGCTCAAATGAATAGTCAACCGAAGCTCACAAAAATCCACCCCTCTCGATCATGTAAGTGCATTTTCATGTAATGCATCTCTGGGTCATTCGCTGGCCAAACGCAAGTGCATTTTCATGTAATGCACGATAGTTGACTCCTGCGTCCATGCACTGTACATCGTACTTGTAAGTGAGGATGGACTGAAATTAAGGACGCACCTCTGAATGTCTGCTCGCAATCCTCTAATAAACAAGCTTATAGCAACTTCATTGGGTATATCAACCTCCGAGAGCAACTCATCAATCAAACTGCTACTCATATTCAATAACAGAACCATTGCTTAAAACCACAGCTTAAGTCAAGTATAATAAAATCAATCACAAGGGTAAATTATCAGCAATCCAAGGTAGCAGAACATGAATGTTAATCCTAAATCTAGAGATTCAAATGCACATAGCTATATTGTTTTGAATAAAGAAGTGGTAATAGCTGCGCATGCGTTTCTTATTTAGAATGCATCTAGTTTATAGCTCGGGTTAATTCCCTCAACCCTGGGTGAGCAGCAACAGTAAGAATTGACACAGGTTTTGGATTGTTTTGGTGACGTATTTGCAGAACCAAAAGGCTTGCCCCCTTCTCGTACCTTTGATCATTTGATTATTCTCCAGAATGACAAACCTATTAGCTGTAAACTGTATAGATATGGGCCAACTCAGAAAAATGAGATTGAAAAGTAGGTGCAAGATATGATGACTAATGGTATTATTTGTGGAAGCTCAAGCTCTTTTGCTGCTCCAGTAGTGTTAGTACAAAAGAAGGAAGGGACTTGGCGCTTTTGTGTTGATTACAGGAAACTGAATGAAGCCACTATTAAGAACAAATTCCCTATTCTAGTCATTAAAGAACAATTAGATGAATTAACAAGGCCATATTTCTTTTCTAAACTTGACTTAAGGGTACGATATCACCAAATTCATATGAAGGAGGATATCCCCAAAAATCCTTTTAGGACACATGAAGAGTTATATGAATTTTGAGTGATGCCATTTGGCCTTACAAATACCCCTGCTACACTTCAAGGCCTTATGAACTCAGTTTTTAATTCATTTTTGTAGAAGTTTATTTTGGCATTCTTTGATGATATACTGGTATATAGTAGAGATTGGGATTCTCATTTGTACCACTTGGAAACGACACTGTCTACCTCAAGGCAACA